AGCGACAGCACGACCGGGAAAACGAACTGACAAACCACCTCACTAACGATGTAGCCAGCAAAGGAGTTAGCAAAGCAGCTAACAGAAGAGTTAAGGAGAGCGTTATGGCTCCTGAGCCCATTCCCAGCTTAGTTTGGGTCAGCTGTCTGGACTGTATGTCCCCCCACAATGCTTGTAGCGAGAAAGGTGGGAACACGAGTACTAGGAGCTGAGAAAGACCTTGAATTTGGTGCAAGCATTCCCCAGCAGCAGCTAAAAAGACACCTTATTGGTACTTTTCTCAGGGTAAATTCAGAAATATAGTTTCATACCAGCCACTGTAAAGAAATTTAACTCTTTCCTGACTAAAACAAGCACACTTCCTTATGGTAAAGGGTTCAGAAACATCCAGGTAGCCGAGATGCATTTCACTCACACTGCTGAAAGCACCCAGCTATTGTAACAGAGCCGACAGAAAGTAGCAGAGACGTTCAAACATACCAGGTCAGATCATAACAGAGTCTCAGCTCTCCCCAAACATCATGGACAGGCAGGAAACTGAGGCAAGCGGTGCAGCTGGACTGTGAAGGTGAACTGACATCGAATCCTGCACGGTCCCTCCCAGAGCCCCAGCCCTGGAGCAGTGCCCTGCAGTGCTGCTCCTGGTGAGCAAACACTGTCTCCCAGCGTGGGGAGCTGCTGGCTGGGAGTCGCTGCCCAAAGTGGTGTTTGAGCACAGCTCAGTGCTCTGTTACTGACTGCGCCTGGGGAGTGCCAGGAGCGTTCGTACAAGTGATTTTGCCACGGAGCCAGAAGCTTGAGTTTCCTCCTTGCCTGTTGGATACGCTCTGTGGCATGGCCAGTCCTGGGCTGTTGGGACCTGAGGGATGTGACTGTCCCTGATGTTGGTACCAAGCCAAGGAGTCTTGTCTGGCACGGAGGATGCCTTCTTTCAAGGGGACTGACCTAGGAGAAATATCGTCTTGTCTGAGTGGAGGCATCTCCAGTAGAAATCCTCCCATCATTTTTCCCAGCTGCCTGGTTTCCATGGATGCTCAGAAGCAGCTTCCTGGCTGCTCTGTGCACTTTCTGAGCCCTGTGCTGCTGCTGGTCTAATGCCCACTCTTGGATTTTTCAGAACGAGCCTGGAGAGGAGAGATTCTTTGCAGAAGATGTCTTCAAAAAGCCGTTGCCTCCCTCTCTGAAGAAGGACGAGGGCGCAGGCCTGGTAAGATGTTGCGTCGTGCTTGTCATGCCCAGTCACGCTGATGAACCGCTGAGCTAGAGCATGGCCAGGGCTTCAGACCAGTTCTATGTGAAGCATGTAGGTGTGAAGCTGCACCCCAGCCTACTCTCTGTGCTGCTGAGCGTACAAGTGAGCATCGCAGGCGCATCCTGTTGCAGTGCTGGATGCGTGTGGTCTCTGGTGTTCTCCATCCAGTATAAGGAAGATCCCAAAAACACCACCACCATGCTGCTTGAGGCTTGCCATATGTTGTGCCACTGACACAGCAGAGAAAACCGGTGGTGTCGTTCCTTCCCCTCCCCGTCTATAGTACTTGTGCTTTGTCTCATCTCTCACAGGCAAGCAGGACTGTAACTCTTCTTGGAGTGCTGGGTTTCCCTGCTCCCGTGGTGGGGGTTGTGGGGATGGCTTTGTGCTTGGTCTTCGTGTCCTTTGTGCACACACAGAGGTGTCCCAGTGTGATCTGGCCCTGCCCCAGCTCCCTTCCCGGTCCGAGGGAGGGCTGGGGCCACTGTCAGCATCACAGCCCAGCCCAGAGTGCGAGCGGTGCGGGCTGGCACAGCATGGTGAGCTGCTGCAGCTGTCCCCAAAACCAAGGGAGAGGCTCCAGGAGAGCTGTGGATTCCCCAGAATGGGAATGTCTCCCACCAAAAACACCACCTCATTTCTGCCAGCTGCCTGCTTTCCTTGCAGGCCTGTTTAAATGGGTGCTTGGCTACTGTGTGCGCTGAGTCCATGCTGTTCTATTAACCTGATCCTGACTCTTTCAGAATGAGACTGGAGAGGAGAAGTTCTCCGCAGAAGATGTCTTTAAAAAACCATTACCTCCCTCCGTGAAAAAGGAGGAGAGTGCAGCCCCGGTAGGTGCCTCCAAAGGATTGCTTCTCGCCTTGTTTTGGCCTGGGTACAGGACTAGAGGGCCTCACCAAAGCCTGGCTGTGACCTCGAGTGACAGAGGGGCCAGCTTCTCATGCCAGAGGAGCGAGCATTGGAGATGGAATGGCGAGGGCAGTTTGTTTTATAACTCTGAGCCTGTTTGTGGGCTTCTGGCATGGAGAAATGCCTGCATTTAAGCAGGGTGTTCTCACTCGAGCAGTCCTCAGGTAGAAAACTCTTCCAGCCACCTCCGGACTGAGGAAGGCCAAACCTCACTGATCTCCACCACTAAAGGATGTGACTGGCAGTGGCTCCCTGCCAAGACTTCTTGTGCCCGGGTGTGTGTCAGGTTGGGAAAGCCTGGCACCAGAGCACAGCCTGTCTAGGGAACAGAAGGGCTTCTGCCCTGTGGTGTTTAAATGCTGGCCAGGCAGCTTCTTTCCAGGCCCTGCCTGTGCTGCTGGGATGCTGCTCTCTGGCTCTTGGGCTGGAACGGCGACGAAGGTCGGCTGGGGAAGCAGGGCCCTGCACGGCAGGCCTGATGCCACAGATTGTCACACGTCTCTGCCTCTTCCCTCAGCCCAAGGTGGTGAACCCCCTGATAGGACTTCTGGGAGAGTATGGGGGAGACAGCGACAATGAAGAGGAGGAGGAAGAAGAGGAGCAGTCACAGGCGCAGTGGCTGCCGCCTCCCCACCCGCCGGCACAACGCGAGGAGCAGCTGAGGAAGGCCAAGGCCAGCGACGACAAGCTCACCGACTGGAACAAGCTGGCCTGCTTGCTGTGCAGGAGGCAGTTTCCCAACAAGGAAGTGCTCATCAAGCACCAGCAGCTTTCCAACCTGCACAAGGTGTGGGGGAGCTGTGTGTGTGCTGCAGGCTGCCTTTGGCTCCACAGCTTTGTGATCTGCGGGGAATAATGCGACGGTTGGGTGGGAAGAGCTGTGCTGAATTTGAGACAGGAGCAGGCAAAGTTTCCATCAGATCTCCATCAGAGCATTGTGTGAGCTGCTTGTTCCTGCTGTGGGAGTGCTGTACCATCAAGGAGCGACTTTTCCAGCTGTAGCGAGACAGCCAAGGGTTGGGGCGAGTGGGGTGCTGGCATGCCTGGGTGTGACGGCAGTAAGAACTTAGCACATGCCTCCCTGTGTTCTGCACTGCCTTTGAGCTCTTGCTTCCAGGAGGGCCAAACTGCACATGGGTTAAAATAGGACTGGTTGCCTTCCTCGCTGTGGAGAGGAAGAGCTCCTGGGCTGTGTGGAAGCAGGTAGTCTGTGCTGCAAGAGAAGCTGCTGCGCTTGGTACAGTGCAGGTGTGAGGGCACGCTGTACTCCTTACGGGTGCAGCAAATGACACTGGCATGTTTTATCCTCTGCTGACACGGGCTTCTGTTTTCCTTCTTCCAGCAAAACCTGGAGATACACATGAAGATCAAACGATCTGAACAGGAACTGGCGTATTTGGAGAAGAGAGAGCGGGAGGTGGGTCTGCGGTGGTGATTCTGCTTGTAGTTCTGCACGAGGGGAGGTTGGGCGCAGGCAGACCCTCCACTTACCCACCCATATCTGCAGTCTTGGCATCAAATGCCTCCCAAGAGGCTGAACTGTGGGCACACTCTGTGTTTGGACCTCTAGATAGTGCTGTGACTCCTAAGAGCCAGTCTCCCTCCTCCCGAAGGTCCTGCAAACTGCCGCTGGGCTTCGGGCTGAGTGGGACCCAAACTTGCATCTAACACATTGATGAGATGGGTGGGCTCCTGCTGCCTGGCCAGCAGATAGTGCTGTGACTCCTAAGAGCTGGTCTCCCTCCTCTTGGAGGTCCTGCAAGCCAGCGCTGGGCTTCGGGCTGAGTGGGATCCAAACTTGCATCTAACATTGATGTGGTGGGTGGGCTCCTGCTGCCTGGCCAGGAATGGGAGAGCTGTAAGTGTCCTTTGTCCAGAAGTAGCAGAGCTGGAAGGCTGTGGCCACGGATCTGGGTCAGCCCAACAGGCACCATCAGGACAGAATAAGTGGATTTTGGGTACTAGAGGTGTTCAGTGTTTGTAGGGCCCCAGGACAGAGTCCCAGCCAGCTGAGGGTGAGACCTGCAGAGCAGTGTCCTGTGGAGTGTTGAACCCTTCATAGCTCCTGTACTTTGTTCTCTCTGTAATGAAGGGGAGATATAAAGACAAAGGAAACGACCGGAGAGAGAAGTTCCAGCAGATGGATTCACCAGAGAGGAAACGGCTCAGATACGACCGGGATGCAGAGAGGTAAGGGCTGCTCTTGGTTAGGTTTCTGGGGCTGCGGGTGTCATGGGTGCTGCTGCCACACCCAAGCCAGGAATCGGCTGTGGGGTGGATTTGTGAGAGGAACAGCCAGGCAGGCTGGGATTCTGCGGGTTCAGCTCCCTGGAGTGTGAGCCTGTTGTGCTGCAAGACATCACAGAGCGGGCAGGAGGAGGCCAGGGGTGCAGAGGTGGAAATGAGGGCGTAGGGGAAAGCAGAGGCAAGCTGCCCGGCACTGGAGGGACGAGATGAGAGCTGTGAGCGTGCCTGGCCAGGCGCAGAGGACAGAATGCAGCCTCTTCCCATGCACCTCATCCTTAAGGCACTTGCTGTCCTGTCCTGGCATCTGGCCATTGAAAGAAAGAGCAAAGCTGCGTTTCATCTGTTCCGCTGACTCAGAGGAACGTAAGGAGCTGTTCCACCTCGTGCAGAGTAGGTGGAGGAAGAAGGCGCGTGCTGCGCGGAGCTCTCGCGGGGCCTGCCTGCTGCCAGCTCGCGTGTTCCAGTGGGCTGAGGAGCTGCTCGGCGTGTGCTGGAGACCAAACTGGTCCTCTGCCTGTTCCCTGCTGGTACAGCTCCTCAGAAGGAGACCTCTCCTCCGTGTCTTGCAGTTTAAAAATCCACATCTTCCCTTCCCTCTGTTTTCCTGAAATAGCTGTGGATAAACTGAAGCAGTTTGTGTGCTGTGTCAGCAGCAGCCAGAAAGTAGAACTTGCCTGAAGGAAGCTATTTCTGTGCCGAGCAGTTTGCAAAACTATGGGTTTTGGTTAATGGTCTTGGATGAGTAGTGACCAGGTGGGAGAGGGGGTGTCCGAATCCACGCGGCTTTTGCTCAGTGACCACAGCACGGGGAGACAAGGAAGATCTAACAGAGCAGCAGGGATTGGACTTTGCTTTCTTCCCATTGCTAAAACTCAGATTAAGAAATGCAGCACAGAACACTCCTGGCTTGCTTGTACCATAAATATTTTGGAGCCTGAGCTCATTTCCTCTGCTCTGGTATATTTTCCCCTGAGGTGGGACAAGAAGTTACGCAGTGAAAGGTGTCTGAGCTCTGCGTACAGAACCCCCCGTGTTGGTTTCCGTGGGCGGTGTGCTTCTTGCAAGCAACTTGAGTATCCCTCAGGAGAAGCTGGAATGTCACGAAGGTGCTGTTAGCTCAAAATCCCTGGCACGTGTTGGAAGCATTGCAAGATCGGGTGATTGATTCTGCCTCTTTTGCAGTGACTATGACCCACGGATTGACAGCAACAGCAAAGGGAACCGAATGTTGCAGTCCACGGGGTGGAAGAAGGGCTTTGGCCACAACCAGCAGGGCACAGCATCACCGATGGAGGTGAGTCTTCCCTTCCTTCTGAAACACACCGCTGTCCTGCGGCCCATAATGTCTCCCAGGACAGCAGGAGGGGGTTCCCTGCCGGAATGAGGAGTCAGGCTGCGAGACTCGGCACCCGCTTGCTGGAATAATACGTGTGCGCTGCTTAACTTTGCAGGCTGGGAGGGGCTGAAGTATGTTGTCAGTGGAAAACAGAACTTACATGGATCTGGAGGTGTTGAAAATAGGGTAACAGTGAGCAGGGAGGATGTGAACATCTGATTAATACCTGCCCAAGGCCAGGAGCTTGAGCAGGTCACCAGCTCCGCAGCCACGTGAGCTGGGGGAAAAGGTGAACCTGCTTCAGGGAGGTGCGAGCGTGGCTGAAGCCACAGGGCACGTGGTACCATTTGTCTGCTCGTGAGGTGCTCGCTGCTGCTCTGGACTCTGGACTTTGGAAGGTGACACCAGGGAACATCGTCTGACGAGGAGCAGAGTCACCATCAGCGCAGGCGAAGGCAGGGCCGGGCAGCTCCTGCCCTCTGGGCTGGGCTGGTCTCTCAGAGGCCCTTGATTTGCTGCAGAGGGTTTATGTGAGAAGTGGCCTGGGGCAGGGCCTGCTCTCCCTTGCCCAGGAGCAGGCGAGCAGCACCGTGCCCCTGCGGCTACCCGCAGGTTTGTCACCGGGCTGCTGTGGTGTCGGTGGGCAGCTCACCTTGCACCATGCCGCTTGCAGCGGAGTGTATCGCTCAAGGCGAACATTTGAGCCTTCCTGACGTGTGTTTGAGTCTCCCCACATGAGATGAGACTCCCTCTTCAGTGCAGACAGCAGGAACTGTCCCCAGCTGTTGCTCAGTCCTCATGAAGGGTTTCCTGTGGCCATAAGAATCATAGAACCATGGAATGGTTTTGGTTGGAAGGGGCCTTAAAGCCCATCTAGTTCCAACCCCCCTGCCATGGGCAGGGACACCTTCGACTAGACCAGGTTGCTCCAAGCCTCATCCAGCCTGGCCTTGAACACTCCCAGGGATGGGGCATCCACAGCTTCTCTGGGCAACCTGTCCCGGTGCCTCCGACCCTCTCCAGGAAGAACTTCTTCCTGATATCCAATCTAAACCTCCCCACTTTCAATTTAAAGCCATTAAAGACGGGCTCTGTCGAAGAGCCAGCTCCTGCGCTGTGCGCTGGGAGGTCTGACCTCCGATCAGGGCTGCCCGGACTGGGTGGGGGAGCTGCTTGCAAAGCACAGCCCTCGTACGATTCCTGTAAAGGCCTCCCAAAAGAGCCCTAGGGATGTGCTTTCTCTGCACTTCCACGTCATGCTGGGCAAAGCCATGTGCCCACTTTGGTGCCACAGGACTTTGATCTCTCGGCCTAACTGATGCCACCTCTGATACTCAGATAAGTTGGACTTAAAGCAAGAGAAACTTTCAGCCTTGGGCCTTCTCTCCTGGGCTAACTCCAGGCAGGTATGACTGAATAATTCAGATGCTGCCTGCAAAAGCCAGTCGTTAAAAACTGGTTGAGATTCCAAATGAGCTACCAGAGCCCACGGGAGCTCCGTTAGGGGGGAGAAGAGCTGAGCTTGTGCAGATGCAGTCTAACGGCAAGCAGCTCCCCGGGAGCCCGGCTCTCTTGCTGGCACTTCCCTTTGCTCTGCTTCCATCCTCGCTC